GGTCATCTTCCCGCAGTGGGAACATGACTCATCCGCGAACGCCACCTCAGCGTGTTTAATGCCCAGACACGTGAGGCAGTAATCGTGACCATCACCCGGCGCCAGGTAACGACCGCATCCAGAAACGCATGGGTGAAACGGCATCTTTAAAAAGACGATCCTTTGTATTTACAATGACGCACCCGCTTATTGTACTTTTTTAGAGAAATTGGTTATTTTAGGGAAATGCTCTTTTACATGCTGAGACGCACAGGGGAAATGGCCGCTTGCAGCACGACAGGGGGTAGTGCAGCCTGAACTGCGCAACCCACTCGACACAGGAACGACGACCGCTGAAGCACCGTCCGCCAGCACAAAAAACTCCCGAGAGCGCTCTAGACTCGTCACACATGAAGCAGTTTGGTAGGAGCAGAACGATGTTGTCGCTCGGCTCCGAAGCGAAAAGCTGGTATGCGTTGCACCGGCTGCCTTTTTATGCTCACTCTGTGATCAGCAGCAGCTGGATGCAATCATCGCATGCCAATGTGCATTGGCTAGTTTAGTTTACACTCGAAGTGGATTGGTCCCTCTAAGCGAGACCCCCATTCGTTGGTCACCGACGTGACTCCGGGATCTACACATTTTTACCCCCCCCCCCCCCAAAAAAAAATACAAAAACTGTATTAAGAAATACTAAAACTTCCCCCAAAAATACAAAAACTTTCAAATTTAAATAAAAACAAAATAACATTAATTCAAAATATTAATAAAAATTATTAGTATATAGTGATACTAAAGTCAGATGCTCAAGAACAGCTCAACAGCACAAGAAAATAACAAAACACCATAAAAGTAGTGACCAGCAGCGGGAAAAAAAAAACTTTTCTTACATGATTTTACATGAGACATTAGAGAGACATAAATGCTCGCTGTCCAAGTCGTATGTGGAAAAAAGAAAAGAAAAGAAAGAAAGAAAGAAAGAAAGAAAGAAATACACACAGCCTGACTGCCCATGTCTGTTAATCGAAAACTGATGTAAATCACAATCAGGGCTGGGCGATGTTATCACAATAAAATGTTTTCATATCAGTCGATACCGATAATTATCATGATAACCGATAATTTGCTCCTAAGTGCAAGTCATAGAAACCAGACAGTTAATTGCTGTTTTAATCTACTATTTATGGACAGAACATGAAAACACTTCACTTTTTTGAATTCTTTACACTTTTCCAGTCATTTTTCCCTAACAAAATAAATCTCTTAATATAAAAATGTATTTCTTAGATTCTGCATGTTCTAATGTTTCAAATAATGAAGCAGGGTTGTGTTCCTGACTTTGATGATGAGTATCTTCAGCACAGTTTACAGTGCAGGCTGCAATATTAAGTATATTGCACATTTATTTATGCTTATTATAAAAAAACATTATAACCTCATTTTATATGGTGAAATTTAATTATTCTGACTGTTTGAGGTTTATTTAAATTAACCATTGGTCTTCCATAGTAGCACACGTTTAGATCATGATAAACAGAGTTAAAACCACACATATTGCACTTCAATACCATGGTAAAAATTTAACTGTATGGTTTCTAGGTATTTGTATGAAAAACAGTAGTCTAAATTTATTCAGTATAAATGCACAAATACTGTACTGTATATTATATATAAAATACTGTAATTATATTCCATATCTCCTTTGATATTTGTAATACATGTCTACATTAATATAATAAAATATTAAATAATAAAAGTTTTTCTGACAGCAGAAATCATCCAGTAATGAAACAAGTAAATCTTGAGTGAGTCATTGAATCATTCCTTCATAAATTACACTTTATTTTTAGTTATTTAATGTTTTTTCTTCAGAGTTGTGAGAGAACCGTAAATAAATAAATCTCAATTTATCCAGAATTGTGCAGCTCTATTTTGCAAACAAACAGTTCTTAAATGAGTCCAATTTTGATGTAGTCTGCTGCTTTCTGTTCACGGTATTTAACTGAAACTATTTTTTTGCAAAAAGAGACAGAATAAATATGTTTGATATCTAAAGGTTTGACTTGACGAAAGTTTTTGATCATGCTGATTAGTCCGTAGTGAATTTCAGCTGATGTCTTTTTCATTTGGGCTAGTTAAATTTAATTTGGGCTACCAAAATCTGAAAAATGCCTGCCCAAAGAGCTACCAGGGATTAAAAAATTTTGTGAGCCATGGTAATGGTTAAACAATTACAAAATTGTTGTTCATTTTAAAGTTTAAAGTGTAGTCTTGTTTAATATCCCTTCAAAACGAGTTGGCAGCAGAAATCACAAACAAAATTGTATCATTTCATATGAAGTGAATGAGTAAACTGCGTTTAATAAATGAAATTGAAAATATAATGCCATTGATATGACAACTGATTACAATATAATAAAAATGTTATTGCTGCGATTTCAGTATTCAAAAGGATAAATTTTTAAGTCTGTAAAAGTTAATACGTAAATATTTTACATTTTAGATGTTGTCAAAACGTCAGTATTGTACATTTAGATGCTGTCAATACTATACTAGGGCTGGACGATATGGCCAACATTTATATCACGATATATTTCTTAATTTCGGTCGATACGATATAATTCCGATATCGATATAAACACTATTAAAGGGGTTATATGATGCGATTTGGAGTGTTACAAGCTCTTGGTGCATAAAGAAGATCTGTAAAGTTGCAAAGACTAAAGTCTCAAATCCAAAGAGATATTCTTTATGAAAGTTAAGAGCCAGCCACACCTACCTAAAACGCCTCGTTCTAACACGCCCCCACATATCTGATCCGTGCTGGTTGCTGAGGAAATACATCAACTTTGCGCTGTGAATCGCCGGATCGGCTTTCACCGTGAACGAAGCGGAGTCCAGCCCGGGGTCGTCACATGGGGTTGCCGCAAGCCCACCGGACGCTCCTTCATCGATTCCGTCAGCTGCCGCTCACTCAAGCCCACCGTGTGTGATGCTGTGTTTCGTTGTGAAAGCGAAACTACTTTGTTTGGTCTTCCAAAAGAGGACGCGACTAGAAATCAGTGGTTAAGTTGTATTTACAACACTGTTCCAGAACACTTCAACCCAAATATTCAGATGTGTGCAGCGCATTCCGACACTCCGATCACAAATGCAGACATGGTTTTATGTTTATGATGCAATGCAACGCGTAAAAAGACAGTATAAGTCATTATAATCCGTAATTATGAATTAAGAAATGCCTCGTTTAAAATGGGTTTTCATGTTTTTGTCTCGTCGCTCCGGCCGGACAGGGCATCATCACAGTATGGTGAGGAGCGTAACATTTCCGTCTCACGCTTGAGGTATTCGGCCAATCACAACGCACTGGATAGCTGGCCAATCACAGCAAACCTCGCTTTTCAGAACGATGAGCTTTGTAGAAATCAACACGTTTCAGAAAGGAGAGGCATAGAGGAGAAACAATAATGTACAGTATGTGGAAAATAATGTGTTTTTTGAACCTTAAACCTGATAAACACATTTCATTACACCAAATACACAAAATAATGTTTTCAGCAACATCATATGACCCCTTTAAAAAAAAAAAAAAAGCCTGATAAAAATTGCCAAGAACAACCACTACAGAAGTCTATACCTACAAACTTCTGAAAAATGAATTTTCCAAGTCTATGAAACCTCCTCCTATAAAACTATATGATATTTAAGAAAAAAAAGTATGTTTACCTTGTATCAAACTCTAGGTTGACATACTGTAACATTTTACTATTTAAAATAACTGTTTTCTATTTGAAAATATGTTAAACTGTAACTTATTTTTGTGATGCGCAGCTGTATTTTCAGCATCATTCCTCCAGTCTTCAGTGTCACATGATCTTCAGAAATCAGTATAATATGCTGATCTGCTGCTCGAGAAACATTTCTGATTATTATCAATGTTGAAAACAAATGAGTAGATTTTTTTCAGGTTTTTTTATGAATATAAAGTTGAGAAGAGCAGCATTTATCTGAAAAATAAATCTTTTGTAACATTATAATCTTTTTGATCAATTTAAAGCATCCTTGCTAAATAAAAGTATTATAAATCAAATAAAATTGCAGTGCTAAATAAAATTGATATAACCATAAAAATGAGTTGCTGCAGAAAACAAAAACAATTGAGCAACAACAAAAACATGTTGCTGGAGACGGGCTTATTATTGAAAATGCAAACTCATTCTTTGCCAGCAGGAGGCGCTTTTAGAGCGATAAAACTAGCGGTTTCCCCGGTAATGAACGCTTCTTTATCAGATAAAAATGAAAATGCCATTGAAACTTTTCTGAAGACAGTCGGTTCCCTTCAGAGATACATTCATATAAAACACCCGCGCCGTGTTATGATTTTGAAGCGTGCAGTGCTCATGTTTATTCAACGAAATCAAACGACACAAATAAATCAATGTATGGGAAACACTGGTAATGAATATCGGAAATGTGTTTAAAAATCATATCACCGTTATTGAAAAAAATTATATCGCAATACATATTGATATTGAATTATTGTCCAGCCCTATACTATACTTTTCAGTGTCATTCAAACGTGAGGAAATGTACGTTAGTTAGAACTTTACATAAGATCATGTTAATCGCCTGTCTGCTAGTTTACGGCAAAATAAATGCAGTTAGAATAGAAATTTTGTTTTTATTTCATTTTAATGGTATCCGCAAAAAGTGATTGACTGTTGTAAAGCTAAAAGCAATTCAGTGATCCAGAATTACAATTACAGATTTAATAATAACTATATTTAAATCTAATCTGTAACTTTGATCATTTGGTTTATTTCTCATATTTTTGTTTTGGCTAGTCGAAGTTCTGGATGGCCGGTAACTTAAAAATTTAGTAGCCAAATTGGCTGGTGAGTGAAAAGGTTCATTTCAAACCCTGTGTGTGTGTATATATGTGTGTGTGTGATTTAATGGGGTCTTTGAATGAAACATGAATTATGAAAGCATAAGTTCTTCTTCTCTGAGAAGCTTCTCACCATCAGCACTGCAAAGAACGTCAGATGCGAGCAGGAGCACTTTATGGTGTTTGATTGTTTGTTTGTTTCTGTCACACAGCCGGACGTCGTCCAGTTAAGTTCTCCTTCAAAGAAGAGAGAGAGAAATGAATTAAATTGATTATAAAAAAAGTAATTATATATTTGATGAAACTGATCAGTACAGTACACTTAGAATGTACCTTTGCCATCCCAAGAACTGCAGGACGCCTTACTGTTCTGCAAGAACGTTTATTTTTTATTTTGCCTTCACATTGTCTGATCATTATAACAAAATAAGTTCTGCAATAAAACCGTCATTACCTTATCATTATTTGTAAAGAACATCTCAATATTGTCCGTAAGGTTGGAGATATTGGCCCTCATCGTTATTCCATAAACCTCATTGTTCAAAACAGTCTGATTTTTAGTTTCATCCTAAATCAGAAACCAAGAGAGCAACCATGAATCAGATATAAATATGTGTGTGAATACAATTGATCACAAACATTTGTCCAAAAGTAGAAACTTTAAAAAAATCTTTACATATAAGACTTAAAAGTAAAAAAAACAAAAAACCTCATTTCTCATGTTTTTGAAGCGTAGAACTCCAACAAACGCACTTCCATTGTTTTCAAGACGTGATTTATCAAAAGCCTGCTTGGAAACCTTTATAGACCAGGAACAGTTTGTATTCTTGTCACTTTGACTCTCAACCTGTGAAAAGAAGAATTGGCATGAAAACTGAGGCCATGAATACCATGTTTTAATGCATCTCAGCTCTTAGGTTTACCACAGCATGATCTGAAGAGAAGCATATGTTGATCTCTTTGGTTTCTGTGTTCTTGGCTTGTACATGAAGAAGACCAACAGCATCCTTCGTGACAATCGCCTCATTGCTTTTATTGTTTTTTTCCATCTCTTCCATCTTAGACTCCAGACTGGACAAGGTCGATCTGAAATATTGATTGAATTGCTTGGCATTTGGTTATTGAGTTTTATATCCACTGGTAACTGCACACTTACGATGCCTTTGAGGGATCAGTATATCCATGCTCAACTGTACTTGGACTGCCAGTTGACTCGGGTGGTATGAGAGTTGTAGTTGGATCATGGGCTGTTGTAGTGATAGTTGGATCGAGAGTTGTAGCTGTAGTTGGATCATGGGCTGTTGTAGTGATAGTTGGATCGAGAGTTGTAGTTGTAGTTGGATCATGGGCTGTTGTAGTGATAGTTGGATCGAGAGTTGTAGCTGTAGTTGGATCATGGGCTGTTGTAGTGATAGTTGGATCGAGAGTTGTAGCTGTAGTTGGATCATGGGCTGTTGTAGTGATAGTTGGATCGAGAGTTGTAGCTGTAGTTGGATCATGGGCTGTTGTAGTGATAGTTGGATCGAGAGTTGTAGCTGTAGTTGGATCATGGGCTGTTGTAGTGATAGTTGGATCGAGAGTTGTAGCTGTAGTTGGATCATGGGCTGTTGTAGTGATAGTTGGATCGAGAGTTGTAGCTGTAGTTGGATCATGGGCTGTTGTAGTGATAGTTGGATCGAGAGTTGTAGCGGACTGATGACTTACCATTACCATTTGGCAACCACAATTTTATGCCTTCAACTGTGTCATTCATTCTGACTTCATATTGGCTCCCCTGTTTTCTTATGTTGAAACTGTATGAACGACACTGTCCTGAAACAAGAAAACATTTCACAAAAATAAATTTGAAAGAGTTTTGAACTCAAGAATGGCTTATAAATAAAATATACACAGGTTTTACCCTGAGAAGAGATGTTTAGTGTCATATTCTCTTCATTATTTGATAGACATGTCCGTTTTATATCTGAAAGAAAAACAGAAATGAACTCAATGAGTTTGTCAGTCGTCACAAGTGCTTTCAGATAATAAATATGCAGTATCACACAGTCATGTTAGCAGTATATTTCACATCTACCTGGAACTGTTGAGCTACTTCTGTTCCAGAAACATTGATCTGTCGAATTGACTTGGATTATCAGTTTTTCTGAGCAGGCTGCACAAACACAGCATTATTAGACTATTAGATAATGAGGTATGACATGGTATAACACTCTGTATCTATATCAATATTGCATTAACATTTACATACACATTCATAGGTTTTTTTTATTGTTATTTTTTGTTTACATTTTAGTTTGTTTTCTAATGTTCTCCAAACAACATATTCATTGGCATATATTTCCGTTTAAGTTGCTGAATCCATTTTTCAAGGAAACATACTTATCTGGCACGGAGCACAACAGATGATCATCAGCCACAGCAAATTCTGCTTTTGTCGAGACATAATTCCCAGAGACAGCGGCCTGTTAGAGACACACGTTATATCTTGTTTTCTACAGAGAGAGCTAATAAATCTTTAATCATTTTCTTATAGCATACTTGAGATAAAGTCGACAGTCCAAGAGTTGAGAGAGTCTGATGCGTCCACATATGAAACTATTTAAGAGACGCAGGACTCTGACATACAGTTCATTTGCAAACATGCAAATCATTTGGGCTTTAACTGAGAATCTCATTATTTTCTTACATTCAGTATATAAAGTCATCATCATAAGTTTGTCAAGTCATAATTGCTCACAGAAAACAATATAAACATAGAAAACAAATATTGAATAATAGTAGAAACAATTTGAAGCTGCTAATGAAAAAGTAACTTTCATATTTTCATTAGTGGATATCTGATATGGTTAAGATACAGAAAATGCCATGTTTTTACACTTTGTTGGAATGTGAACGTTTCTGTACAGTAAGTGACATTTGCTTTGATATTTTGTGACCTAATGATTAACATCCACATAAAAGTGTGACTAAAGTGAATAAATGACTATGGAGTCAGTCCATGATTAATAAAATTACATTTTATTAGTTTCATTAGAATCACATACAGAGAAACATAACAGAGAATCATAAGCAACATAAAACAATGACGGATTTACTGATTCTGACTGTGTTTGTTGTGTTTCCTGTAACCAGATATGTTTCACATCCGTGTGTGGATTTTAATGAGCTGTTTTAATAACCATGCAAATATCTGAATCCACAAGCGTGCGGACATTACTGTCATCCTGAAGATGTAAATTTGTTTTCTAAATAAGGTTCAGTGTTGTTTGAGTCGCTCTGACACGCACATGATCACACATGGATGATTATAATGCTCAATAAAAAAAACAAAAAAACAACAACAGTAATATCAGATCATATCAGAGATTTGAACGCAAAATGTAATCTTCCTACAAGTTTTTAGTAAAGATCAACAGATATTTTTCATTTCTTTTGAGTGATTTCAGTAAAACTGATGCTTTTAGGGTCATAATTTCATGTACATCATTTTAGTCTAAGAGAAAGAAAGCCTTCTGTCTTAATTATGCTTGTGATAAATATTTTCCACAGCATTAATGCTGGATTGAGTGATGGTTGTGCTGGAGTCTGTGCTTTCTGGATCATCAGATAAACAACCCGCAACTTCATTGTGAATGTGGTAGTAATACAGGAAGAGGAAAAACCCTGAAAGAAGAACACAAAAACTTATTTCAAATAATTCAAATACATTTCAGATATGATCAAAGTAATTTGCATAATTTAACTATAACTAAAAATTATCAGACTTTTGGTTAAATGAAACATATTAGTATAAATACCATTATAACCAATTATAATTAAATAAAATAATTATTTAAAAAATAAATATTACATAAAAAAAACACACTGTGTTAGTGAGCACTTCTCCTTTGCCGAGATAATCCATCCACCTCACAGGTGTGGCATATCAAGATGCTGATTAGACAGTATG